GGGGGGAAGGAGTAGGCCCGGTGCTGCAGGCCCGGCCAGGCCGCTGCCGCACTGCGCATGCGCGGGGCCTGCCTGCAGGGTCGTTGCACCGCCCCCCGGAAGCGGTACCATAGAGAGGGGCGGGAGGAGCCGCTCTAGGCGCGCGGGAGGCGTTACTCCCCGCCGGGCGTCGCTGCCATGGCAACCTGGCGCGGAGCTGGCCAGTGGGGCTCCGGTAGCCGCGGTACGACAGGGAGCTGGAGCAACGGAACAGAAACCCCCGGTACGGCTCAATGTCCGGCCCAGAACCCCCCGGAACGACCCAATGTCCGGGCCGGCCTAACGCGGGACCCGGTGCGGCCCAGTGCCGGCCCGGCTCCCCCCGGTACTGGTGGCCGGGCCCTGGGCCTGGCTCGGGCCCTCAGCGTGGCTGGGGCCTTGCTCCCGAGCCCTGCAGTGAAGCCGCCGTAAACAGCCTTTTCCCCACCCAGTGACACCCCTCACCCCGTTTTTTATTATTATGTTTTTACCTGGAAAGGCTGTGTGCGTGCCAGAGAGCCAGTCCCACCTGTTGGGACTTGCAGGTGAAGGCTGTGGGGAGAAGCCAATCCCTGGTGGGATTCCCTCCGCTTGCCCTGCCCAGGGGTGGCCTGTGCCAGGGAACACTGCCCTGTGCCTGGCTCGGGGGGGGTGTGTGTATGTGTTGTTAATTAAGAGCTTTTTTGCTCTTTAGGAGCCCCCGAAGCTCCGATTGTGCCCTGTCTGTGCATTGTGCTGGGTGGGTGCAGTGTGGCTCTGCAGGGGCTGGGTGCTTGTGCTCACAGCTGGAGCAGGAAACTTCCCAGGAATTTGTTCGTCTCCCTGCACAAAGCACAGGCTGGATTTATCTCGTCCCTTGTCTCTCCACTAGAACAAAGCGTGAGACAGTTGAATCCTAGTGACCCACTTTGGTCTTTGTAGCTCCTCAGAGTTTGATTTTCCCAGTTATAAGAGGTGCTGAATTTAATTGTTCTGTGCAGCCTTGAAAAAATAAAATAAACCACAACACAAAACACAGTTCAGCTGGAAATGAATGACCAGGCTGAAAGAGGAAGATAAGGTTTCTATGGGAGACTGAAGAGGAGGTCTTTTCATCTGCTTTTCAGGCAAGAAGGAAAAGACAATTAAGCTGCCCTCCTTGACAATTGCAGAGGAGCCTATGCCCGTTTCAGGTGTTCTGCAAGGAGATGACATCCAGGCGCTTGCAATTAAGGTGGAGGACCTCAAGAAAGTATGTATTGTTACTGATAGAAACAGCTGCCCTAACTGACACTCTCCTTTTACTTTGCGTGTTCAGCACAGAGTGCTGTCCATTTCCTTAAACCAGACCCCACTCTTGGAGTTTTGCTTTCATTCCATTTTGTCTGTCCTGCCTTTCGTGATTTGTCAGATCATCAAGCTCAGTTGGTAGAAATAAAGCGTTATGAATCCTTACACAATCTCTTCAAATGGAAGTATAAGTCAGAGAATCATATAATTGCTAGGTTGGAAGAGACCTTTAAGATGATCTAGTCCAACCATCAACCTAACTCTGATAAAGAAATTATGACTAAACCATATCTCTAAGCTCTGTGTCAAACCATCTTTTATACCTCCAAGGATGGTGCCTCAACCACTTCCCTGGGCAGCCCATTCCGAGGCTTAATAAACCTTTCCATGTAAAAATTTTTCCTAATATCCAAACTGAACCTTCCCCGACACAACTTGAGGCCATTTCCTCTTGTGCTTTCACCTGTGATTTGGGAGAAGAGACTGCCCTCCTGGCTACACCCTCCTTTCAGGGAGTTGTAGAGAGCGAGAAGGTCTCCCCTCAGCCTCCTTTTCTCCAGACTGAACACCCCCAGCTCCCTCAGCCTCTCCTCATAAGACTTATTCTCCAGAGCCCTCACCAGCTTCATTGCCCCTTTCTGGACATGCTGCAGCACCTCAATGTCTTTTGGCAATGACCTCAAAATCATCTCCCTCTTCAAAATTACCTTTTCAGCTTTCTGGTCTAATAAGACTTATAAGTTGTTTAGTAACTATCACGATGTCCCTTCTAAAACTCGAATCAAACTGTGGGAATGGAAGCATTTGACACCAAGTGACACAGCAGAAAGCTTTTGGGAAAGTGATTTAAAACTCTCCGTTCCCAGCCCTGGTTGTAAAGCAGAGTCCAGAGGAGTAAGACAGTAACTAAGCTGGTATCTCCGCAGCCGTGTGACGTGTGTCTTTGGGGAGGAACAGCCTGTACTGATATGACTTCTCTGCCTATCCTAGAAGGCTCGGAAGGAATGAATGTGAGTCAGTGTGTACCTACTTGCATTGTGACTGTTTATTTTCTGCAGCTCCATGTTCCACACCCTCCCCGTGATGCTAGGAAGCATCCAGTTAAGAAGGAATATCTCGTTCGAAAATACCGACCCAAAGAGACAAAGAAGACAACAGAACTCCTTGTAGCATATCCTGCCTGCCCAAAGGCACCCAGTGAAACACAGACTTTTTCTGGTAGGGTTAAACTTCACACCTTATCTTGGGGTTTTGGTTTTGCTCAGCCTAGCTTTAGTCACCTGGCTCTGAGGTTGGGTGTTTTTTATGTGTGTTGTAGCACCAGAACTGTTTGGTGGTGGCTGTGAAAAGATTCTCCCCCATCACATTTTGGGAAGTCTCCAGGAATTCAAGGAGGAAGCCTTGGCCAGAGGAAACACTCAGGTTGGTGTGTAAAGTTACGGAAACATTGCTGTGTGGCACCTCTCTAGAGGTGCAGTGTGGTGCCTGCAGTATCTTTTCAGCACCTGTCGGGAGCAGGTCAGGCCCGAGGTGTGGTTTTCCCGGTCTCTCCCACTCTACGGGGAGGGTTTGCCTTCAGAGAAACTGCACCAGCAGGTTTTGAAGTCCTGTGTGCAGGAGGAGGTCATGGAGGGAAGAATTACAGAGGCTTCCTCTTCCCTACGCGCTTCTGTTGATGGCGTCAGGCTGGCAAAGGAAGAGCTGCTGTTGCAGCAATGCCATTGCTCAACTCTAATTACCCAGATAATTCCTTCCATTGTTTGTGAGTGTGTTCCTAGTGCCCTGGTTTTGTTCCTGTCAGAGTTATCAGGTGAAAGTATTGTCAATCTGAAGAATTCTTTTCTCCTCCGCTCTCCCATTCTCGTTGTGGTGGCAGCGTGTGCACAGAGAGGTTAATTTAATGCTTCCTCTTTCTTCAGTTAGCAGATCTTATTGAGGCTTCTTGTCAAGATGTTACTGCAGCAGCTTTAAAGGAGGAACATGGAGGAAAAAAGAAAGCTCATCAGCCCCCACCAGCAGAGCACAAAGCTCTCAAGAACTGGGACCATCATATGACAATCAGGAAAAAGCAGGAGAAATATCTAGGAGGTAAGAAAAGCTGAGTTCTGTGGGCAGGTGGGGAAGTTTGATGGCACCACAACGAACTGTAATGGCTACAGCTGACCAGGGTTAATCCCATTGCTGTTGTGTGTTCTCAGAGCACCCCACGCTGCTAGTGCTGGTGGCCGTGGGTGCTGCAGTGGAGATGATCTGGGGGAAGGATAATGGATTTGGTGGGGGACAGTATAAGGGGGTTACACGTGAACAACAGGTAAAGGGTGTGCCCAGAAGTGCAGCACCAATAATTTGATGTTCCTTCCTTATAGAAATTCTTCAGAGGCCAGGGATCAGTAAAGGGCAGCCTTTTACATCTGTCTCAACAGAGCCATCTGTGTGTTCCATCCCTTCTGACAAGTCAGAGATCCTGTAAGTTTTACTTCATGGCAGAAATAAAGATTTTTTGGGTATGTACCATCAGTCTGTAAGGGTATCCTTAGCCATAAGACAGAGGAGTCTCCGCTAGGGCACAATAAAAGGCATAATCTAATATTAAACTCACCAGATTTAGGAATCAAGCAATTCCCTTGTGCCTTGGGGCCTCAAGCAAAAATCAGAGAAAAGGTTTTTTGAGGCCCCTCCACCAATCTTCCCTTTGTGTGGCTCCAGAGCTTACAGTAGGCAGGGTGGGGATTCTACTCTAAATTACCTTCATCTAATTGTCTTTTTCCAGCCTTTCACTTCCATTACCAGTTTGCCTTTTTTCCCCCCATCCTGTCCACCTGTAATGGGCACAACCCGAGGGCCTCTTCTTATTCAGTCATGTACCCTCAGCCTTCCTGAGGCAGGTATCATCCTTTAATATCCTGGCTGTCCTGTCCTCTTTGATGGTGACAAGTAGCAGGCTGGGGTTTACCACATCTGCAGGGCTCTCTCCTCAAAGAGGTGACTATTTGGAAAAGCATTAGTTGGAATTATTTCTTCTAGGGTTTTGTAAATCGCCCCTGGTTCTTCCCTCTCTGAAAGTGAATTTTGCTTCATGAAAACGCTGGTTCTTGTTTTCTTTAGCAGTGACTCAGGTGACAGCTCCAGTGTGGCTCCAGAAGGAGTAGAGGGTCCATCTTTAGTTTTCTGTGGCCAACCTGCTCGTTGGATCGACGGCACCACTTCTCGCCGGGTAATTGTGTGCTTTTTATTGTTTAGTCAAGCTAATCCTGCTTGAGTTCCCGAGTTACAGCTGTACAATGAGTGTCACTCTCAGGCCAGAGAATGGGGGATTTATTGTGAGCATAATGGATTATCCCTACGTTGGCTCCGGAGAAATCTAGAAACAGAAGGGGTTGCTCTGTCTGTGGTGTGAAGCTCAGATTCCCGGGCTCTCTCTGTATAATGGCCACTTCATTGGACCTGCCTTACAAGTTCTCCTACCAAGGCTCAACCTTTTACTTGTGCTATGCCTTCAGGCAAGATATATCCTGCCAGATAGATAGAGTAGAAATTGTTATCATTGTCTTTTTCCTTGCAGGCTGAAGTTGGCATTGCTGCCCGGCTCAACTTTGAGACTTTGGTTGGTGAGAAAGCTGAAAGCTCCCTGACGGTGAGCAATGATGGCACAACTGCCATCTGGTATGACTGGATGAGGCTTCCCCAGAGGATTCCCTCCAGAGAAACTACGAAGATAAGGACACCGCGTTTTTACTTTGATATCAGATCAGGTGTGAGAGCTGCTGATCTCTGAGGCTTCAGTACGTGGAGCAGAGAGAGAGCACGTATCCAGGAGTTCTCTGAGATGCTGAGTCTGACTAATGGCAGAGCAAGCCTGTTGGGTGATTCTCCTTAGGATGCCACCCTGGGCGTTAGGGCTGACTCACACCAAAAGAGGTGTGCGAGACAGATCCCTTTCGTGGGACTTGAAGGAAAGGAGGAGGTTGCTCCTATTCTGAATGTAACTGGGTGGAATATTGAGAAGTGAATCATTTTCTGATGGCAAACTGGGCAGAATCTGCCTGAGAGAGTACTGAGCTTGCTGTCAGAGGAGCGTGCGGTGGAAATAACACCAGTTCAGTAACATGGTGGCTGGGAGTAAATCCAGCTGGAGAAAAATAGCTGGATGAAGTGTCATAACCAGCAAAGCTATGGGAAAAGAGTCTCATGCAGAGATAAGGACACTCGGGGTGTGGTTGGAAGAGAAAGGGTCAAGTTAACCAGGTGGTTTTTTGCAGACCGATGCATTTTTCTCTCTTGTTTCAGGTGTAATGTTGCCTGGGGAAACTAGGACGTTTTCCTTTATTTTCAAGTCAGAGAGAGTGGGCATTTTCAGTGAGGCCTGGGAATTTAGGACACGTCCCCTGTTATTAGGAGGAGCTCTGCTGCAGGTGACCCTTTGGGCAATTGCTGTCTCTGAGGATGTATTTGCTGACCGCAGAGAGAAACCGGAGGTAACCAAGCAGGTAACTGGGAAACTCTGAGCTTTGAACTTAATATGCAAATAGAGGATAAAGATGGGAGGGGATGACATGGTATTTTTATTGCTATGCAATTAGGGCTGAGAGTGAGATGATGATTTATTTCCAGAATATCTGTATGTACTTGAGCAGGTTTGCTAAATAAAATGGAAGAACTCTGCAGTCTATTGTAATGTTATTAATAAAGACATAATTGTGTCTCCTAAACTGTTCACACTGGTCCTTTAAAGAATGCATTTTCTGTTGGTAATCAATTTCATTACTTAGTGGGGATAGGATTATGTGTCGTACACTATGATACCGGTTAAGTTATAAATTGAAAATGACACTACGCTTTGAAAAGTATAGTTTGGGGGAGGATTTGTAGCGTTTATTTGAAAAGCTGTTGTAATTATTGCTCTGCTTAGCGGGGTTTGCAGTTATTCTTGTCCTTGTAACCCTATATAACATATACATGTGGTTACTAGCGTGGGTGTGAATTTGCTTGTGTGTCTGTATATGGAAGGGGAACTCACACGTGTGCTTGTTGTGGTGCCTCAGATTGAGCTGGCCATTCGAGAAGGTGCTGCTATAGTAGAAGAGTTTCTGAAGAAACGTCTTAAACAACGTCGTGTCCGGACCTCAGAGCGTTCCCCGTCTCCTGTGGATGTCACAGAGGAGGAGTTGTTCCACTGCAAGAATCCCGAGGTGATGTTTGCTATTTGAAATCACAGCGGGGGAAGACCCATGGGGCTGGTGCTTCTTCCCTGGGTTTCTGGAGGCTGGCATGGTCTGCCATGGTGGCTTTAGCAATTAGGTTTGTAGAGGAAAGGCATAGCTCATTTCACTATTTACCTTTACCCTGTTATGACAGTTCCATTATCAGCATCAAGTGGTAAAGCAGCTGCATGAACTATGGAGACAGTACATAACTGTTCCTTCAGCCTCTGAGGATAAAGTGTCCTCAGACCAGAAGAGCACTGTGGAGGGCACCCAGCTCCGGGAGAGGATCTTGAAGGCTCTCCTTCCTCAGAGGAGCACCACAGCGGTCCCAGGCATGAAGAACACCCTTGAGGAGACATCCTCAGGATGGAACCTCTCTTTGGATGACTTTAAGCAGGTGTTCACCCCTCTTCCCTCTAGCGCTATGACCAGCTGATGGTGTTTTCATTTTCCCTACAAATAGCCTGCCCTGCCCCAGCGTGAGCCCCCCGAAAGGTCTGCTTCCAACGTGCTGGGGGTTAGAGATGATTTACAATGTGTGTCGCAGAAAAGCACTTCAGCTCTGCTGACCACACCCTCAGTGCTCTTGTAAAGAGGTTCCCAAGAGAGACTTTGAGGGTTGTTGTGTGAAGAAGAAAAGAGAACCACACAATGTAATAGATATTTTAAGCTCTTCCCCCATTAGCTTTCTGTCATCCCACGACTGAATGCGGGGGGCAGGCGAATCCTACAGCCTCCTGTGGCTTCCCCAAGGGCTCTTCTCCTTGGAGAGTCCTTCCTATTCATCAGAGCGCTAAGGGGGCACTCATGACAGGCTGTGGATAAATTGCAGACCTCCCTGGATTAAAGCAAGAGTGGTTTGGATTCTGTCAGCACAGTTTTTCTGATGTGCTCTCTTGGAAATCTCTCTTCTGCTTTTATAACTACTCTTTACTTTGGTAGAACTCTTTACTTACTCACTAGAATCCCTGTTCTCCAGCACATCTGGGAAGTTGCAAAGGGGCTTCCTGTCAGTTTAACTGGGGGGTCTGGGATTGCTCCCCAGATTTTGGGTCATGTGTACACCTTGGCCACATCCCAGCCACATAGGAAGCCACGTCTGGGTGTGTAAGTGCCCAGTGCAGCCTGGTTTCAGACTGGTGTCCAGGTAGAGAGCTGTGCTGTGCTCCCTTGGGCTCGGGGTCTACGGACTGGGAATGAAAACTGAGCAGCAGCACTCTGTGTTTTCTCTCACATCAGGCTATAAAGTCCATCCCCGAGGAGGAGCGGCGAGAAGAAGCACTGGCCCAGCTCAATAAGGCAGCACGGGAGCTGCGTCTTCAACAGAGACCAACTCAGACAGACCTTTTGTATCAAACCTGGTGCGTTACTTTTGCAAGATAAAGCTTGTAAATGCATCATGGGATCAACAGCCTTAACAAGCTCTGTTGCAAGCGTTGTGATTCAGACTGCAGATAATTATATGAGGTCTAGAAGTCGTCTTTACACTCTGGTTTTTTTATAGCTTAATTGTAGCAGCTGTCTAGGACCCAAGTGCCTTTTTTTTTTTTTTCTGGGGATAAGTTTAGAATATTGAATGTATGTAATTTTGGGGAGTATACAAAATGATTTCTGGTAAGATTATTCTAGTCTATATTTATGAAACCTTGGGGTAATTTTGTGTACCCTTTTACTCAGATAACTGTATCCTCCCTCATACAGTCTCTCTGTTCTTTGCTCAGGCTCTCAGACTGTAAACATATCAGCAGCTTTCTAGTTGCTTCTAAATTAGAAGGATGCAGGTTTCTCTCAGTAAACACAGGGAGCAGGTTGATGCTGATTTACCAACATGTGTCATGCTGAAGAGCAGGAGATCTCGTTTTGCTGTAATATTTATGGGCCCGTCTGAGCTCATTGATTTGCAAACTGGTGAGACTTCAGAGGGCTCAAACATGAGGAAAGGAATTTGGCTTCTCTCTGCACAGATTTTTTGATGGTGGGGGCTACTTTATTGGTTTGGATGGACAGAGCAGCCCTCAGCTGCTCACTCCTGGGCACAGGGTAGAAGGAGGTGGCAACTGCTGAACCCTCTCCCTTCTGATTCTGATACTTTTCTCAGCCTCCTACTGTGGCGTCAAACAATTGATGATATGGTGAGTCACTCCATGAGGCTGAGATCCCTGCTTGGCTTGCCTGAGAAGAAAACCATCTATGTAGATGATGATCCAGAGGAAACGGGTAAGTGGTAGTTGTAGCACGGCGACTGGTTTCTGCGGACGGTTGGAAATCCAGAAAACGTGCTGAATTTCAACTGAATTGGCAATTTCAGCAGTTGCCCCTCAAAGCTTTTATAAGAAAATGCACCAGAAAAAAATGGCAGGTTGTGTGATTGGGATTTGTGGTTTGGTGTCGTTAAGAAAACACCGCACAAATAAGCCTTTTAATTGAGCTAGATGTGGCTGTGGTTTTCACACAGACTAACCCAGAACACCCTCGCTCACTAGAGTCTTAAGGCCTTCTTCTGATACACACCTGAGGCCTGTTCATTCCTTATTTAAACAGAGCACTCTGCAAGGTGGTGTTTCTCAGTGCAGTGCAGCTCAGATTAATAAAAAGAGGAAAATACATTGCACAAGTAATATACTTGCACTGCGTGAGTGCAGCGAGCTTGTCTTTCTGGATGCAAAAATGTTGCTTTTGCATAATTGAAATTCTTTCCTTAGTCGTGGAAGTTAAGCAACCTGTAGAAGGAAAAAAGGAAGACAGAATAACCATTAGGAAAGAAGAGAGGAAATTAGCTGTTGGTAAGGATAGAGAAGGCAAAAAAAGAACACCGAAGACGGCAGGGACAGAGAAAGAGGTATGTGTTAGGATGCTTGTTGGAAACTAGGTGCTGGGGACAGTGTGATCCATTCTGAGGATCCATACCCCGAGTTTGTGCTGATTTCCAGCCCAGTGAAAGAGGTGCTGCTTCTGGGAGGTACATCCTGTGGCAATCTGAAAGGTGTTCTCACCTGGGTCACTTTTTTTTTTTACCTTTCTCCTCTGTCCCTGAGTAGGAACAACCAAGCAGCAGAAAGTTAGAAGATGTGACAAAGATGATATCTTCCATTCCATTGCTGGAAGTGGAAGAGGGAGCACAGCCCCTGGAAGTTCTAACTGCAGATCAAGTAGAACCTCCACCTGAGGAGGTGGACCCTGCTCTGTTTCGGAAATACCAGGAAAAGCTTTATGTTGAAGTGAGTCTGACCAGAGCTTATGTCTTTGTTTCTTGGTTTTATTCTTCTTATAAAGTTACGTTGGAGCCCAGGTGGAGAGAGAAGCAGTTTGTTAAACTCGGAAAACTGACAATCACGTCCATAGTTCTGTAGCTCATGTCTGTGGTTCTGTAGGTGTGAAATACAGGGGGAGGGAAGGTGTCCTCTGCTCCAGCCTGGAGTCTGTTCACATAAATCCAGCCATCACATCGCCACATGCGGGATTTCTATCTGGGATGTCTTTTAGCATGCTCGTGGACTCTTGAGGGATCAGCAGAATTAATTGTATCTCAGATAATGTTAAACACACTTCGTAGCCAGAAAAGTTATTACTGGAGCTCAGCTCTGTTAGCAGGCAGCCGCTCTGATGTGGTTGTGTGCCTGCCCATACGTTAATGCGCTCCGGTGTGAGAAACCATTTCTCTGGCTTGTCGATCTCATCATCGGCATCTCTTCCTGTGTTTTCTCTGCAATTACCTTCTGTTCATTTCTGCTGCAGGTTTATGGGCTGCTGGGCTCCATGGTGAGCAAGATGGTTGCTTTGTTCGAGGACTTAGAGAGAGAAGATGCTCTGAAGTGGGAGAGCAAAGCCATTTGTGACTAGAAATAGACATCCTTTTACAAAATAAATAAATAACCATATTTACACAGATCAAGTGGAGATTCTTCTTTCTGAAGTGATGCAGTGATTAGAAATCCTGGGCTGCCTCCTTTCTGACATGCTGTGATGCGCGACTATTGCTAGATCATCTGTTACTTCTGCAGATGATCACTTGCCAAGAAGAGACAAGGCAAGAAATATCACAGCCTCAGAAACAGTTAAGACTAGAAAATACTGGCATTTCAGCTAAGGAAGAAGAATTTAAAAGTGCCAGTCAACATGAGATATGTCTTTATTCTTTGTTTCTCGGTCTTGCTTGCCTAGCAGGTGAGTGAGCAGAGAGTGTCCCTTACTAGGACAGGGACTTAGAAAAATCCATCCTGTTTTTGATTGGACTCAAAGATCCCAAGGGTCTCTTCCAACCTGGATGATTCTATGATTTTATGATATTCTTGCCTGCTTGTCCAGTCTCCTCTCGGGACTTGCTGACAGAAGGCTTCTTGGAGGCATTCCCAGTCCCAGTGAGAACGCACCATCCCAAGGGGTGTTGCCACCCTGCCTGCTTTTGCACCCGTGAGTTGACTTGTGCTGATCTTGCCATCTCTTTCCATCCAGCTCAAGGTACCCAAGCCCCATTTGGCGCCAGCTCTTCCTTGCTTCCTTCCAAGACTGATTCCACTTGAATTAAAATGAGTGAAATTCACGCCGTAAATATTGTGAGCGTGGTAAGGCCTTGTGTCAATCACCCCTCCTGTCTGTGTCAGCCCGTGTGTGCATCCGGGCACCTCACCATTTTCTGTCTGGGTTTCCTTGCCCATCACAGCCAGAATGGAGCTTTTTGTGGAGACATCCTGGCTCTGCGTGTCTCCAGCCCTCCAGTGGGCTTGGGTCAGAGCAGGTTTTCCAGGCGGAGTGAGTTGGGTGCAGGGTCTCTCTTGGCCTGGCATCAAGAGACACTCAGAACATCTCAGTAAAGTGCCATCTTCCTGCTCAAGCAGCGGGAGAGCGTTCCCCAAGAAATGACATCAGTGTGGGTTATTCCTTGAGGTTGGTGACACCTCTGGGGTCGTTAGGCAGCAGATGCCCGTGCTGGCTGAGCGTTGTGTTACACACTCAGTGCGTGGCTGTGCGTGTGTGCCTCGGGCACCTTCTCCTTTCCTTTGGCAGCCACGCTGACAGGCGTCTCGCAGCCGCACCAAGTGTAAATAACTCTTCCTTCTGCAGAACTGTTTGCTTTTGCTTTCTCATTCGAAGTGGCACTGTCTCTGGGGAGAAGGTATATTCTTCCCCATGGCTCCTGCCACTACCACGGCAAAGCACAGTTTATTTTTTTTTTGCTGGCCAGGTGAGGCCCCTCGTGTCTGGAGATGGTTTCTCCTAGCAGGGAGGAAGCCAGGAGCCTCTTGTGGCATAGCGGGCACGAACCCACAGAGGGAATGTCTCTGCTCAGCATTCCTGCAGTGAGAATTTCAGCAACATTTTGAGAATTAGAAGGAAAAAGGCCTGAAGTTGGGGTGTGTCTCACAGGCTCTGACAATAGCTCCTGCCTCCCTGGAGATGATTATCAGCTTGTGAATCTGCCCAACTCAAACAGCTCAAGCCATCTGTTTCTCGACAAGAGGGAGTCTGCACGTTATAGAGGCAACGTGATTGTCTCAAAAGCCAGAATGCTTTTATTTGACAGCTTTACCTTCAAAGATGGCAAAGCCTGTTCACAAGATCTGTGCCTGCAGTCCAGCTTGTAGAAATCAGGCTCCACGTGTACCCCTACTCACAGGAAAACTCCTTAATACGAAAACAGGTAGATGAGAGTTTAATGTTAGTCACCCACCGTGGAAGAATGTCCTTCCCTGATCTCTCCTTCCTGTCCGAGGGAGGAGCCTGGTTGCCCAGGGCAGGCGGGAGGCATAAGAACTTCTGCAAAGGAGAATAAACCCAAATGCTGGGAATAGTCTTAATTTTTTTTGTTATAAATATCACCAGTGTCTCTTACAGCCCTTGGACAAGAGTGTCCTCATGGGACAAGGTACAAGCAGGGCAGGGGAAGGAAGTGCTGGGCCAGCAAAGCGCAGTGCTCTGCTCTCTGCTCTGGCTGCTGCGGCTTTCTCTGAGCCAGCTGCCTTTTTTTTTTTTTCTTCTTTTTTTTTTTTTTTTCCACTTTTGCATTGATTTGTGGAAGTTACACGGCTGGAACTGCAGTGGAATTAGAGCTGGCTTCCACCGAACACCTTTAGAAACTTGTACCCCTGGTTTACAGGCTCAGTGGGACCTGAGGTGTGGGTCCTGTCACTAGAGCAGAGACCCTCGGGGCTGGTCAGCCCCACACTCTGAGGGCACCTGGATGCACCAGTCCCTGTAATCCCGACTCCCAGCAGCCAGGCAAGGAGAGTGTTCCTTCTCCTCTCCCAAACGTCGGCATTATTTGTATTAGTGTTAATAATTTGTGTTGTGTTTGCTAAATAATGGAGGTGAGCGACCTTCCTGGCCTTGGGAGTTGCATACCAAAGCCATCACGTGAGTCGGGGCCTGAAGACACCACCAGAACTGTTAGAGAAGCTGGAAAAGGGGATTCTGTGAAAATGCTGGAAGCCCATTTCCAGAGGCTTCCCAGTGGCTGGGGGCAGGGCCTGGGTGAGCAGCCACCGTGTCCCAGGGCTGAGGGAAATGGGCTTTAGAGCCTTGTTGGGTCCTGCTTCCTACAGCAGGGTTGTGGACCACCCAGAAAAGCAAACCCCAGGTTTGTCCAGCTGGTGTTGTCCCCAGGGAGAGGTTCGCTTTGCTTATAAGAAAATCAGTGCCTGAAGAGGGACAATGAAGGTGAACCAGGAGCACCAGGAACAGAGGAAGGGGAAGGCCTGGATCTTGGGTGGCCATGACGAATGCCTCCCACCGCCTGAGCTGGGATGTTCTCCAGCCTGACCTGGAGGATGGTTCGGATGCTGGAGGTGCTCTTCTCACAGGGACTAAATGCTCAGTCAGCTTCCACGGCCAGAGCCTGTTGGGAAAGCCAGGCTGGTGAGATCTGCAAAGCCTCTGGAGGCACGTGGCCTCCTCGCTGCCTTCTCCCTGCCACCCAGGGCAGGACCTTCAGACCTTCTGCGCTGCCGGGGGCCTAGGGCAAGGTGAATCTCAGCTCTGCACTCAGCGCAGTGGGACCATCGGCAGGAAGGCACAGTCCCCCCTCCAGAATGTCTCAGCACCCAGGAGATGCTTTCCATTATGGAAAATGTCAGTGATATTAAAAAAGATTATATATATCCATAATGCTTGAAGGCCTGTCAGCGATTAAAATGGAAGGCAGAGGCCGGGAGAGAGGGGGTGGCATTGAAACCATCGAGAGACATGACTTATTTTGTCATGTCATCTGATGCCTCCCTCTCCCCCCCCCACTCCCCCCCCCAAGCCAGGCTCCAGGAGCTGTTCAGAGCAGGGGAAGAATCCGCTCCAAATTTAGATCCCGGCCAAAAAAAAAAAAAAAAAAAAAAAAAAAAAAAAAAAAATTAAAAAAC